ACGTCACACAGTGGAGTCTCTCTGATTGGTTGATGCGGCGCTTCGAGCTGCAAAAGTTCAGATTTTCTAACTTCAGCGATTTGCGCCTCAAGCACGTCGAACGCTCAGATCGTTCAAATCGTGCTGCTCTAATCGCGCTTGAGGCACCGCAGCACTTCCCGACGCTGATTGAAGCGCGTCCACCGTAGACTTTGCATGTAAACCTGATGCTCCTGATGTTGAAATCGCGTTCGGTGTGAACGCACCGTTATACTTTTAATTGTATTTCTTATTTCACGTTTATTCAATCATACACAAAGTACTTTTCAATGTTTATAAGTGTGTTAAAACGCTGTTTCTATGCAGGAAATACCACGTAGAGCTCAGTTATTGTTTGTTAAAGGTGATGTTTCATGTTTAGTCTAAATTAAACATGAAGTCTTTACAACCATAATGTTTATGTTGTCCTCAAATGAGTTTGACACCCAGACTTATAGCATACAGTCCATTTATTATTTATGCTCCAGAGCAGCAAACTGCTCAAACATTTACTTTACCAGAGGATCACAGTTAATCAAGCATAATAGACCTGTGGAAGCATGAAGGTTAAACCCCAAAGATTATTTCCCCTATGATTGTAATTTAAATTTGGAGCACTTCATATGCAGTGTGACAACACCCCCTCTTTTTTTTTTTTTTTTACATTGCCCAATAATGAGCTCCAATAAAAAAGCGCTCGGCCCGCCCCTGTCGGCTCCATTGTGACTCCGCGTTCAGCTGGAAGCCGCTCTTCCATCCTTGGCACCGGAGCGGGCGCACCACGACGAGCCCGAGCCGAGCCGAGCCGAGCCGAACCAGGAGCGCGCCGTGAAGACGATGATGTTTAGTCCAGCAGCCACATTTTACTGGTAAGAGGCGCCCGCTTTTACTCTTTTATCCCTGGTTTTGTCTTCATCTGTTAGGCACACTCTCAGCTCCACGTTTAACGCGGTTCTGTGCGGAGAGGCGGAGAGGGCTCGGAAGTCTTTCCGTGGTGATTCTGCCTTATAGTTTTCTGTTTTTGGACGCGTACAAAATATTTTAATGTCAGGTGAACGTCGTGTAGGAGCACCTCCGCGCGCTTGACGTGCTTTACTTTTATCCCTCAGATCATTTGGAGACGTTTTTAAGGTGAATTCTAATGAAGGCGTGGATTTACGCGCAAATGTTGGATGCGCGTAAATAAAAATCCCTTTAACTTTTAGTTGTGCTTTCGTTTTTTTACTGTGTTTTTATGAAGTTGTGGAGCAAAAAATAAATAAATAAATAATGTTCAATGGGAGCCGGAGCGCTGAGGTTATGAAAGCATGGACTTCATCAGGCCGTGGCAGAGGGAGATGTGGATGTTTGTCATTTTGTCTCCAACCTTCCAAATCCCCGCAGTGTTTCTCTTTGTCGCCCTGCTGGTTCTGGACGTTTTCACCTCCTGCTCTACAGCAGCTCATGATATTTCCTCGTTTTTTTTTTTTTTAACCAACAGAAGGGAAGCAGATGCGCCGCTAATATCAACAGACGGTTACTCGTGCAACGTTGCGCAAAAAATATGGAGGGTGGGGGAAAATATGCGCCCCCGCAGATTTGGAACGACTGATCGTTCCTCTGCGTCCTGTCAGCTTCGCGTTCAGCACCGCAGACAGAGACATCACAGCATCTTCTCCCCTCCAGATGAACGTGGACGCCGGTCCGCCCACGCCTGATGGCTTTCTGTGCGGCTGCCGCGCGTCTCGCGCGTTTGGGTGTTAAAAAAAATGAGGGGAGGGGGGGAAAAAGTCGCTACAACCCGCGACTGAAGGCCCCGGTGTGAAGCTTCTGGTGCAGAACTGTGTGTTCCACTGTCTGCAAGTCATAAAATAAGACTTCAAGGCCTTTCTCGTCGTCATCAGTGGATTAAAGTGTTGTTCGCCTGGAGAGCAACACCTGCAGCTTCTTACCAATTGGACCTTTAAAATACACTCTCATAAACAAGTCACTGGATTTACATGATTAACTTTTGGATGCAGCCCATTAAAGATGGCCACCACAGCTGAGCAAACTTATCAAACAACAAAATGAGGATAAATCAAACAAATTTATCGATATTGAGCTCAAATTTGGGGTGACAGTAGCTGATAGTCATTCTCAACATGTACTTTAAGCTAGGCATATAACAAGTACAAGTAGGCCTACTTCAGTTTTGGTACTTGCTGATACCAATGATTTTAAAAACTTATTTTGTTATTTAGAACCTGGGARTGGGACTAAATTAAATAATAACATAGTAATAATTATAATCTGGAGTCGTGCTGTTTAAATCAGACGTCCAGTTGCGTCGTCTTTTTTTTCTTTTAATTTTCCACGTCCTGGATGACTGAGAATCCACAGAAACATCTGATAGGAACGTTTGTGTCGGACCATATCAATACTAAAATCACTGGATCAGTACTTCCTGCGTTCCGCTTTGTTCCATAAATAACAGCCGGCCGGAGGTTGGATAAAACATAAACAGTAGACTAATGTCAGATAATTATTTATTCTGCTCTGATCGAACAACTTCAGATTCGACATGCTAACGTGTAGCATCCATAGGCTACTTCTGTAAACAGCAAGCTGAATGTGACGTCATGTCATCTTCTGAGCATTCAGGCCGCATCGACAGCACAAAGCGTTCACACTGGAGRCTGGAGGTCGCATTTAAAATATAATATATAATATAATGTGAATGTCCACGCAAACAAATTGGTATCAGTTCCGGGAATCACAGCATTATGCATTACTTGCAAAAATGCTGGCACACCACTACTCTGAGCTCCATCTGGTTTGTAAATTTTTGTCATTAGCAMTTGAAGTCAGKCATCYCTGTCTGTTAGCAAAATACCTTGTGAAAAACTGGATTGGTTGTGATGAGACTTTCAGTTGTGCGTCTGCAGCTGGTTCAGTTTGGAACTCAATCTAAATTAAGTTAGCCACCTCAGCTAATCAACTTTAGCAAATAAAAAATTGGCTATAACTCTCAGCATAAATGGATTATAGTTCAAAACTCAGGCGGTGATAAGCATTCCTTCACAGAAGCCTTTCATTTCTAACCTACAACCTCTTTGACTGATTGCACTGATTAAACATAAATATACATTTAAAAAGACAAATTAACCATAATTATGACAGAGTTTGATGTCAGCTTATAATTGAGTTGATGATGTTAAAGGTAGCCGTCATGTGTTGATGGGTTGGAGAGCAGGAAGGAGAGGGTCTGAACGGAGGACTGGTGAGAGATGAGAGAGTCGGGATGAGAAAAGAAGCCACAGAGAGGTGGAGAAAACATGCCTGCTGGCTTCCTGTCTGGACACATTACGTTGTCATCGGCTGATATCGCACCAACACAGCAAGATAACTGGCACTTCCTGTTCTCTGCTGTCAGCTTGGGTGTTTGTCCTTCGCTTTTTCTGCATCTTTCTATTCCTACGTGTCCACTGTGGAGTAAAATATCTTCTACCTTTAAACAAGTAACTGCAAAAATGCAGCAGCAGTTCTACCTGTTGCATAATCTCCAACACAGAGCTAGAAATAGCTGCACTCGGGTCTTTTTTGTTTCAGCAAAATTAGCCCCATTTCACCTTTCGCAACATTTGACTCGTTCCTTTTTTAAATGAGCCTGCATTAAACCTCTCCGTGTTTTTCAGCTCGTTTTCATTCTCAGTTATTGTTAGACACAAGAAATGTAACATTGCTGTTTTTGGGATGTTAAAAATGACTGAATGTGTTTCCAGTGACGTCTGATAAAGGCAGCTCTTCTCCTCTGGTGTTTCTGTAGGTGGGACTGAGTCAGCTGCTATTTTCTATAGTTTCCAAAATTAACAGACTTTGGCTGGCACCTTCAGAGTAATTCTTACACCTCAGTTTAGKTTTTAATCGACAGTTTTATTTATTTATCTATCTGTCAGGCTGCAAAATGCTTTTACGTTTAGTGTTGACCTTGTTGCGATCCTTTTGTGTTTCTGTAGGGAAGAAGGGGAAAGTCATATCRAGCTGTTTCACTAACAGTTTTTGATGACAAGAAAGAAAAGAAATGCCTTTAATATGGTTCACTAAGCAGGGAACAGAGAAACTAATAAGTTATTGCTTTCTTAGAGCATTAATAACAAGGCAAGGATTATTTAATAATTAGTTGTGATTTGTCATCAGAATCATTTCCTGATTGATGGACGGACTGACAGACTAGTTTCAAAAGAACAGAGCAAAAGTTTCAAGGTTTATCCTTATTCATATAAAAATAAATACACACAGGGGAAGCAAACATATGGTGTAATTGACTCACACAAAAAACAAAACAATCCCTTCAAGAAAATTAATCCTTTCAAAATAATCCTATTTATTCCTTAAGATTTTGAACTCAGTATATAATAATAAGTATTTCCCACCACAATGAAAGGTGAGCAATTATATAGTTGCCTTTCATTTGTTCATGTTTGATTATTTACTATAAAATTCTCTATTGATATTATAAAAATGTTATTACAGGTCAGCAGATTTGTATACAGCTTGTTTGTGTTGTTGCAAAATGAGTCAACAGATGAATTCTGTGAATTAGGCATCGGAGCTGCTGTGAACTGCTCTGTGATGTGCACCAGGCTGATGTGTGACAGTGTCCACAGTAATGGATGAAGACATCACATGGMTTATTACGACACAGAGATCTTCATCTAAATGTCTGTCAGCCATCAGCCTGACGCTGCWGTAAACATGAAGCCTGCCTGTACCCAGAGTTAACAAAACAGTWACCAGCCCAAGCCTAAAACTGAGCAGCATGTAACTATATAAAACAGCACCTTTTTAAAATGTTTTTTTAAAGTGCAACTTTAACATCTGAGCTGAAAATGTGAATGCTGTTATTTAGAGAACAAGCAAGTATTTTTTTGTAAAACAAACTGGCTGCTGGCCTCAGTTTGAAATTACATGCGACGGGCACTGAAAGCAACAAAATARGAGCTCTCAAAAGTAATAATATGTTTGTTTCAGGCCTTAACCTCAGATTTCAGGCTACAAGGAGCCTGTTACTAATAAGCTTTCAACAAATCCAATTACAACACCAAACTTGTTTAGTGTGTTTGTAATTCAGCAATTCAAGCTGGGACTGAGATGTCTTTAGGCCAACGTGGGGCAGTTTCTGGATGGACTAAGGCCACATGGGTGGCAGTCAGCCACTGTTACACCTTTTATGTCACAGAGTGAGGTAGTAACAGAGCCGTAACAGTCTGTGAAAAGGTAAAACACAAACGATTGATTGAGTTCAACTGTTTGTAGATTTGAGCTTTTGAAAGATTTTAGTTCCATTTAAATACTCAGAGATAMAAAATTATCACAGCTTGGTGATTTAAAAATGACACTAAAGTTATTGATATCCTTATTAAGGGTGAACTGATGGCAGTTTTCTGGCCGAACACTGTTCTTTAAAAAGTCTGACCTACCAATTTTAATTCTGATTTTGACCAATATTAAATAACTGACTCTGTCAGGTGTTATAAGGTCACAATACACCTTCAACACTAACCTTCTTTTATTGAAAAACATTAATCAATACTCTTGAAACGATACAAACTTGTCTTAACCGGACATCAGATCGTGCTCARAGCGTAGCAAAAGGGGAAAGTGGCTGATTTTTAGACCTTTTTAGAGGTAGTGTCGATCTTTTCCACTGATCTTATCTAAGTATTGGCCGATCCCCAAAAATTACAGAAACCGGTGCAGATAAATTGGCCGGCCCATTTATCAGTGCACCTCTATGAARTGTTGGATGAAAACTACATATTTGCACACTGAACAGCTTCTTTTCTGTTTTTTCATAGACTGAGTGACGAGCCTGCTGTCCAGTCGCCACCATGATAGCCACGGGTGGCCTGCTGCGCATGAACAGGCGACAGGATTCACTCCGGTCCAAAAACCGAGCGGAAAACAAGAGGAAGCGGAAATCCAAGAAGAAGAAGAAGAACGARGTGGTCATTGTGAAAGGGAAGCTCAACCTCTGCTCCCCGGCTGGTTTGGTGGCTGCCATTGGTGTCGTAGTTCTGATGATTGGGATATCCATGGCCGTACTGGGATACTGGCCTAGCCAGAACCAGCAGGAGTATCAGGAGCGCCGCAGAAACGGAGCCTTCCACAACAGCAGYATGAGCTACTCCAGAAGTCCATCTGTCTCACTTAACTTGACCCACGATACATCTCCGTCCAGTCCAACAAATGAGTCCAACCAGAACCATTCTAACAGCAGCGCCCCTGAGCCCTCACCTCACTGTGGCATCCTTTGTGACTTTCTGGATAATTATCTGTACTCAGACAATTTAAAAGTGTTTGGACCGTTGGTGATGGGAATTGGCATTTTTCTCTTCATCTGTGCCAACGCCGTCCTCCACGAAAACCGAGACAAGAAAACAAAAATCATCAACCTGAGGGACATCTACTCCACGGTAATAGATCTGCACAGCATCCGGTCGAAGGAGTACTCGCCTCTGAACGGCCTGGTCAACTACACCCAATCGAAGAGCGTCGAGGGACCATCGGCTTCGTTTCCAGCCAGCAGTTCGCACACCCGCAGCTCCTGGCCTTCCACCGGACTCAATCCAAAGGGTGAGTTGGATACCGAGGAGGTGTTCAGACGCTCCTCGTTGGCGAGCCGGCCACGCAGCTGCTCCAGAGACGTCCAGACCTTCACAGATACRGTCTACAGCATCTACAAAGACTACAGCAATAGAGGCGAGCAGGCCCCCCAGCCCCGCCAGTGGGAGACCACTTCCATTGTCACCTCCTCCGTGAATGCGTTCACCCTCCCTGTGATCAAACTCAACAACTGCGAGGTGGACGAGTCGGAGAGGGCGGAGGCGGAAGGACGTTCGGAGGAAGCGGTTGTGATTGAGGCTGCCGCTGAAAACATTAGTGAGGAAGGACACGCCAGCAGAGGGCACGCCGTCGAGATAGACGGTAGGCACGAGGGGTCGGCAGCGATGATGGACTCCCCGCCCCCCCATCAGAACCAGGAGGGCAGAGCCACAGAGGCGGTTAACCCGCAGGAGGTGCCTCACACACAGCTGTTTCCTCCCGCGCCAATGGGTTCAAACACATCCCTGAACTCCTTCGCGGATCAGCCGAGGCTCGCGCGCCACTGCAGCCTGTCCATGTCGGGGAGTCGTCAAAGTGACAGAGCAAGGCGTTTCAGCTGCCCCCGACTGGAGCGCTCCAACAGCAAGGGCTACATCAAACTGACTGACCTGGGGGGCGAGTCCTTCGAAGCACCCGACACGTGCACGTCTTTAGAAGCCACAGGACAGGAAGCAGAAATGGATGCAAAAGCAGCAAGGGAAGGCGGAGCTCAGGGAGAGGATGCTCTGGTGGCACCCAGTACTTCTACAGAATCCTAGGCTTTTCTTTCTTTTTTAAAAAATCTCACAAGCCTCCTGAAACTCTTTTTGGTCTTGTTGTTTGCTTTGTACCTTTTTCTGCCATTAGTGATGGACAGCTGGTCAGGAAAGGAAACACAAAAAGTACACAGCTGAGGACTATTGACCTACAGCCATGAGCACTCAAGAGCGACACTCTTTATATATTAAAACAACAACCACTTCTCAGTATTCAGATGTAACTTTTCTATTTTTCCAATGTAGCAAGAGCAATATTTAAGACTTCAAAGAAGTTTTAGTAAAGATTTATATTAAAAAATAACAAAAAGAAAAAAAGATCTGATGAATTTTAGTTTTTCTTTTGTACAACAGTAGGGCAAACATTGTAGCTTGTAAAATTACCAAAACTGTCACTGKGAACTGCTGTCCAACATGTTGTATGGTAGCATTAACGTATGCCACAGAAAATGAAATAGTCTAGATTTGTTTCTCTACATTGTTATGTGAAAAACACGTGACTTGGTGAACTGAACTGAATCTCAGGTAGACGTTTGGTTTAGTATTGAGACCTTAACGACGAGGTCTTCCCTATGTGCACACTTGTTTATATGAAACATACATGGTTGAATAAATCTGACTGTAACACCTACATTTGGTCAAACAAATGTTTTTTTGTGTAGTATTAAAATGCAGAAGGTGTTGTTTTGTTTTCTTTGTCTAACTGTGTTTTAAGAAAAGCTTTTCAAAAAGTTGTGTAGATACTGGACTACTTAAGCTAACTGAACTGAAGTCCAACAGGCTTACGTTTTCAAATTTATGGCAGTGTTCTTGTTGTCTTCAGCATCAAAAAGAGGGCAGAAAAGTATGTGCTGATTTAGATGGGTGGTAAATTAAAGAAATAAAAATGTCCTAATAAATCACCTGTCCAGCGATGGCACTGGCAAAGACTGTCAAACACATTGCTCCTAAACATTTAGCTGAGACAAGAGCCTGTTCTTCCAAAAAAGCTTTTTATCAATTTAATTTTTTATGGTTTAATTTGTAGTTTCCATCCAAGCACCTATATTGGTTTGTTTTCCATTAACTTTAGCTCCTGTAGATGTTTCCAGCAAAGTTATTTGAAGCTATTCAAGTGTATTTTTTTGCAATCAATTAAGTAAAGGAAGTATTCCTAAGAGATTGAACACTTTATGCAATGGGACAGAGTTCAGGCATCAATTTTCAGTATTGTGACAAATTTGTGGTTTTTATCATTTACTGTTGCTTAATGTTGTTAAAATGTTCAAACAACCAAGAGAAATCTGTGGAAATAAAAAAAACATGGCCAAATAGGTGTGATGTTTAGGCCTTTAAAAAGCACTGAYCCAAGAACAGATAGTTTTGTCCAATAAATCACGGAATGCGCCTAGAAACGCTTCTGAATTGTGTGGTTTGATTATATGCTACAACGATCTGCCATATTTCAATCCGCCTACTGGTCATGTGACCATTTTCCGACGTTTCCAGCGCCGTTAATGAGCAGCCGCCAGCAGGGGTCGCTGTGTCCGTGAGTCGTGTTATCGTGGGCGTTGAAGGAGTACCACGGGGTCTGCTTCCCAGACTGCAGGGGCGGGGTTAGCTCGCGCCGTATCCGTGGAGGTGGTTCACCAAGGCGAGCGCTGACAGGTGCCCGGTCCTTTACACCCGGACGAGCCCCGAGTCGGGATTTTCTGGTCCCTGCTGCTCGGTGACAGCTGCTGTTTTGGGAGGAAGTTTGTATCTCTGAAGACTCGGGTAAAGATTGTTCGCTCCTACTTTGTTTGTTGTTTCAGTTCCGTATTAAGCTGAAAAAAACGATCCAACACGACACGGTCAGACTCATTGTACAGTTTTGGGCAGTACTGTATAATTAGCTCACTTAACTAACATTTTTATTTGTGTTTCCGCTGTGACACCTGCTGCTTCTCCTGGCGACATGGAATACAAAAACGGTGAGTAACAAGTGTTTATTCACAAAAGCTGGAAATATTACACACAAAACGTCACACACACAGTGTTAAGCGTTGCCATTTATTTTCAGTAAACATCAAACACATTTAGACAAACTGAAGCAGCATGTAGAAAACCTCAACAACTCTGGTCAGTAAAGTACTTTTATTGTACTTTTTAAAAGCTAAGAACTGAGAAAAATAATGTTCTTATTTTAAAAAGTGAAACTTTGATGTAAAAAATACCAAACAAATCACAAATTATTCATATTGCCTTATAACACATGAAGACTTAATTGTGCTAATTTTGATCTGACAGTTCCATTTTAATTAGTTTACTCACTTTTTCTAAAAACTGCTGAGAAAGCACAGTTTGCTTTTCCTAAAATACACACCCCTAAGCACATATTAATAACACATTTGTACACAAATACTTAAAGCTGTGTTGGGCACAGGTGGACGGTCCGGAAATGGGAAGTTGTCACAGCGTGAGTTTCCTCTGAGTCACACTAAAGCTTCAGTGAATGAAAAAAAAAATGAAGAGCTCTTTGTTTTTATCCTGCTCTTTGTCACATCTGTACGAAGGCTTTGAAGGCTAATACGTTTTTTCCCAGGATCGTGAATATACCTAATGAAGGTGAACATGGAGGATGGAGTGAGATAAGGCTGAGCGAAGTTCATTGTAACGCTGATGAAAGCACTTCTGTCTTTGTCAGAAATTTACTAAAGTGATATAAACGTAGAGTCAGCGTGGCCGTTTTACACACGGGTGAGTGAGTTTAAACGTGAACTTTACTCTGCCAGCCTCTAATGGCAAAGTCCAGAAAAGGTGTCAATGAGCTCATTAAAACAGGAAATCCCTCAAAGTATTCTCAGGTGTTTATAACAGCTTTATACACTCTTCTTTCACAGTCACGATCAGAGAAGGCAGTGACTGTTTGTCATGCTTGACTTGCTGTAATTTGTGTACATTGTGCAGCTAATCTGGAGATTTTTTTTGACACTTGGATTGTGTCACGTGACTCATTTTTAACGTAGTTGTCCAGGTTTGATTGTGTCCGGATCTGATTGGTTATCTAGCGATGATGTACAAAATGTTCATCCAGCTGATAGCAAAGCTGATAARGTGTATGGATATTAGACATGTTATAAGGCCATCACTGATATCTGTGACCCGAAAGGTTCTGTTTGAGTCTCACTTGGAGCTTTGTGTCAACTTTTCTTTTTCGCTTCTAAAGATGGCTTCTTTTATAACGCAAAGAAAGTCTTAAAAAAAGGCAGCACTTTTATCCAGTGCTAAAATTATCTGCGTTTCTCTGAAACGTTTTGCTCACAAAAATCTCTCTTTCTTCCTGGTTGAACTTTTCAGATTTCAGGAAGTGAGGCCTGAAACATTAAACTTTTCAGATTTATGAAATTGTCACATGATTTTATCTCATAATCAGTTTCCACAAGAACTTGCAGGAAAAAAAACTTATCTGACTATTTTTTTTGGTGTCCAGTCCTCTCTCTGCATTACTTATTGTGTTAAACTCAAGTCGAGTAGTTGGTTGGATTATACTTACCGGCTGCAATTTGTAGATTAACAAAGGATTAAGAGGTAACATTTAATCCTAGTTGAACAGTCAGTTGATCAATATCTGTAATCAAGTCAGCACTGACTATGATAACATTTAATGTGTCAGTTAAGTGMCCAATTAACAGTTTTTCTTCCTGATTATATAGTAAGCTAATTGTTAAGGATTAGATTTTATCGTGTATTTTGCTGAACATGCATTAGATTTTACGGTCTGTAATCAAACAGACACTTTTTTATATAGATTTTAGTTAATGTACCTGAAATACATTCAAAACCTGTTGATTTCGAACATATCTGCCCTGTGATGTACTTTTCAGACAGATACATGGAGATTTAAACAGGTGTGGCCAAAAAAAAGTAAAGTATTTTTATATTTTGAGTTAAAGTAGTTAGCTTAGATGTAATTTTTTTTTGGTTTAAAGCAAAGCTAACTAGCTGCTAGCAACAACTTGATTTATCAAATGATGATGCAGCGAATGATAGAGTGGTTAAATTAAAGGAAGACATTTAGATATCAAACATTATCAGAAGATAAAGGCAAAGGGCAACTGATAAGAACCATYGTGAACTTTAAATTTAGATAAAGCTTTTCTATCACTATCATTGCGTTTGCTTTTCAGGTCACCTTGAGGTTCAGACTTTTCCAAATGCTTGTCTAATATCGTTTAAAAGCTCCAATCYGAGTGTGCCGCCTCTTCCTTTTGCTCAAAATGCTTCATTCAGTCAAAAATAATTAGCTTTATGATTGCTCTAGTTAAAATGAGCTTCCTACATGCAGGACACAAGAATGGAGTGTAACGTACGAGGCCGTGGCTTTACATGAAAGGGTACCAAATCTGAATTGACTTGTGTAATAAGAGGTGTGGTGTGGCGACTGTGTGCTCGAGGCAGGGGGRTGATTTTGGAGCTTTGGCCCAGTGTGTGGTGTTGAAATCAAGCCTTAATTTGGCATGCACGCAAGCTGACCTGCAGCCTTTTGGGAGCGAAGGCTGGTTAGAGCTGGACGGTGGGGGGATAATAYGTTTTTTTTTTTCTGTTTAGAGGTGAGGCTGAAGCGAAATAAGTGGGAGTGATTTGCAGCTGCAGTTACCACAATAATAACGAGGCCGGGGATCTATTCACGGGTTTAAACAGTGGAAAGGTTTTTGCGATACGGTACCTCTTTGTGAGTCTAAATCCAGGAAACAAAATGAAAATTCGATACCCCGTTGGAACGTAACTCTAATTAAAGCTGTAATAATTRTCTCCCAGACTACAGAGGACACTGAATCCTCGCTGGGCCCAGACGTTTTTTCCCCTTTCAAAATTTAATCACATGGATGATTTGTTGTTTCAAACAGAACCTGGTTCCATATAATTATCTTTGATGAGGTTTTAACTGCCGTGAAATGTCCTCATTATTAGAAATTGGATTGTTGTAATGAGGCTCATAAGGATACCAATTCCTGAGCACGCCCACGTATACAGATATGTCAAGAAATGTTTTTACCAAAATTGAAGTATCTATTTTTTTAAGAAATACCCAACGGAAATCTATTTATTTGATAATCTCGTGAATTACTCTTTAATTAGAATGATTTTGCTTGCTACTAATGAGGAGGTTGTATGGCAATATCCTACCGTGTCAATTTTAATTAAGCTGGATAATGTCACACAAGGGCAGCCAGTCTAATATTTTCTTATTTTCTCAGAATAGACAAGGTTTCAAAAGTCCAAGGCTGGGGTTAAATYCAGCAGAACAGCTTTTGTAAGCAGCAAAAAAAAAAAAGTGAAGACATAAGCAACCACATAAGCAGAGTCCAGAGATCACATGTTGTTTGTCTCGTGTGGAAATAATCATTCTGCTGACCGAGCTCTGTTCAGAAGGCTCGGACCAATCATAAATATGAACTCACACAACCACTCAAAACAAGAGCTTTTACCAAAAAATCAAAGTGTGGTTGTTAATTAACTGGCTGCAAGTGATCGTTAATTGTCCTTTCCTGTTCACATTGGTTCTATGATGACATTGGTGTCTTTGAGTTTGACCTCCAACTTTTTGCTGCAAATCAAAATCATATCACTTCCTCCAAATTACTGAGCTTCTCATTATCATCYTAGCCACCTGTGATGCTGTCGGGTTTGGCTTTGCAATAAAATCTGCTACTTTAAAAGTCAGTCAGATAAAAGCAAAGTGGATTTAAACTTCAGATTATGTAAAAATTGAGTCTAGCTTTCTAGGAAATCAATTCTTGGCTGCTTGAACACCACATGGTCTTGAACCATGTGATGATCCAAATAGATAAAATGAAGTTTGCTTATTTGTTTTTCTCTTTATTATTTGATCTATTCTAGTCAAAGAAATCAATAGTGAAATGATGCTTGCATGTATTGTCAAATCTAAATTATGAATATTTTTTTAGTTTGTTGTCATTTCTTTATTTTTCATTAAGTATGAAAACGGCTCCTCAAACCTTGAGAATTACTTTGAAGCTGTCARGTTATAACTTTTTTAATTCTAACATTTTTTTAAATAATGGTGGCCTCAATAAGTCAGACATTTTATAGCTTCACACTTGAAATGCATGACAATTTTCACGTCTTATATCTGCAGATATAAAGAGAAATAGCTGCTTAAACCAGTTGTTAGCATAGCTTATAAGGATAGCAACACACTATTATAACTAATCAATAAATTAGTTAGTTAACTGTGTTGAATTTACTGCTGATATGGCTGATGTCTCTGTTTTTATTAGAAGAGAATTGTGTAGCAGAAATGGGACATCAATTCTAGCAATATTTCCATTTTTCAAAGTACAAGATTTCTGCATCTTTTTTTATTTATTTTTTGTTAATTCCTTCTGACTAAATGCTGCTGGTACTGGTTTTAAACTTGAGCTATTAAAGCATAGTCAAATTATGTTTACTGCTGATTTTATGGGAGTTTTGTTAGTACACTTTGTGAAAATCAAAAGTTTTCTAAGCTGAAGTAAAAAGCCACCAAATTTTACGGCGTTTGACAAAATCAAGCTTCACTTTTGTTTGTAGGCTTCGCAAAGGCCTCYTTTCCCACGAGTTTATTTCTGGATCTTACTGCTTCTTTAGGGAGTAAAAATCTTTAAATTTTACAGGGAAAAAACACCAACGTTGTTTGCATCAAGTTATAGGGGACCACAGTGTAGACATCATCACAGAGCTGCTCAGAATATGTGTTACCTCACACCCTGGGAGATAAAGGAGAGAGATGGAGGTGTCAAGTTTGCTGGATTTGATTAACTGGATTGTTACAAAWATGTTTCCTGAATGCAGCCAGGTTTGTTATAAAACAGGCTTTTAGAGTGAAAATGTTCAAATTTAATTCTGCAGAAGACAATAGAGATTTATTTAGACAATACCAGCACTTCCAGAGTYAATAATCTTTTATTTTCCTACCACCTACTGGTGCGTTGGGTCCTGATGAGCAGCGTTGGAGACAACATGTCGACTTATTGTTTGTCTGCTGAGAAAATAATGTCAGCTTTTACTGCACATCTTCTCATAAGTGTTTATAACAAAAACAGTTATTTTCTAGACTTCTGATTCATTTATTTCATTCATAAACGAGAGAGGTTAAAGAACTCAAGTGTGGGACAGACATACTGTGTGTGGATGTGTGCAAAAACAAATTCCCRGACTTGAAGTGGTTAACAGAAGTATCGTATTAAAGCTTCGGAGGAGAGCTCAGTACGTTATTATATTGTCTGAGATCATTTTGACAACCTCCCACAGCTATTATGTCTCTTCCCTGAACTGAGGGCTGCAGGCAGGAATATTGTTACATTTATTGTTGAGCTGCTGCAGCTCCAAACATCAAACTCTGCCCAGATCCCTGCTTCAAAATCTGCTGTAAACTCAAACGGACTGTTGCCAGATCACTTTAGCTTTTACTGTTTATTATTCAGCACGTTGTGAGATGCTGCTGTTGCTGAACTCTGCTTCAGGTAATGAGCAGCTGCACAACAGAAAGAGCAGTTCTGCATCACATTTAGTCTCCACTGCCCGCAAAGCAAAACGAGGCCTCTGTCACCATTTAGATGATTTGTGTGCGACTGAAAGAGTGAAATATCTGAGGCTATATTATTCAGGACTGCGTGTCCACATATAGTCGGGTATGAAAGCAATTAGATGAAGTAAAAGTCTGAAGATTGACCGAGCTCCTTTCTGTGTGGTGGGGAGGCCCGACCCACAAATCCTCAAAGGAAGCAGCCTACGCTGTAATTAAAAACTTGCTTCTGTGTTTTTATTTCTGCACAAACATGAATTTCACGAAGAGGAGAGCAGCAGATGTGTTTTAGAGCTGCAACGCTCATGTCTACTTTCTGCTTTTTAGTTCACCGCTGAAGGTAAAAAGAACAGCGGTTGTTTGTTTTAAAGTTAGCCCCATTCAATATGGCCGCCACAGCTAAGTCACCTTGGAAAACACAGACATTTGCTACTGAGTAGCTAAAAACTGCTGAGTGCTACACAATGCAACAAACAATCATGTTCTACCCCATTAGCTGTTATTGGAGTCAACTCTGACTGTTAGCAAAATGAACCACTAAATGGACTTTAATGAAACTTACAAACTCATTAATTAATCTACTTCAGCCAACCCAAAAGCTACTAACTTTGTAACATTTGAGTTCACATCTGCAAAATGTTAAAATCATAATCTCACAACAAAATAATTACTGTCAGTATTATAAGAATACTGAACCATTTTACTAGTGCATTGCCTTCAAGATCAGTGTTTTGTATCACAGAAGAGCTCACGTTTAATATGCTTTAACTGTTGAATTATTATCCTGTGATACTGTTGTATACTTCATAAATTCATTTAAGCCTTTATGGCAAATTATGCAAGATACTGTGCATAATGTATATTCAAGCTTTAATCAAAACAGCTCAAATTCTCTCAATTGTCAATATATAATATAAAACTTAGACATGGGAGACAGCAGGTGATATTCGTTCCTTTAAGGTTTTTTATTTCAGATTCTTCCTGGAGTTATCTGAAAGTGTTCAGATTAGATTATGTTGTTTAAAACAATAAAGTGAATGCAATAAAATGATCCCAAAGTTAATTAAATGAACTAATTTCATAGTTATGAAGTAATAAACAAGACCCATTTTCCTCACATTGATGTTATATTTTAATTAAACATTTGTAAGCAAAATTTGACTGGATGCTACCACGCTTATTAAGACTGGAAATGGGTTTAAACTTATGGGTCTAACAGAAGTTTTTAATAATGTTCTCATCACCTTGCTTCATGTCTTAGCAGCTGATTCACACCAAAACATGTTCTTGTCCAATGTTTTGTTTACATACTGTATCAGTTTGTCTCTCTGGAAGTGCACTTTGATATAGATTTGATTTGATAGTTTGAAAATATGAGCCTTTAAGTTGATCTTGACAGATGCAGTGCTCCATCCCTCCTCCTGAMTCAGCAGAATTCAGTCACATTAAGCAGACACGACTCGAGCTGCCTGTCCTCGCTGTAGAAACAGACRCTGTGCCATTAATTGCCCCTGCTGTCTGTTTGAATTGGGGGAGGAGGAAAGGAGCGGGGGGGTGTTCTGCTGAAATAATGCCCCGGCTGTCCTGTTGTACCACACTCCTGCTCCCTGAGCTGCCCAGCACAGAGACAGGCTGGTGAAAGAGGGGAACTGCAGCAGAGCAGGAAACAGGAGCCCGCTCCGAGAGCTGCTCGGAGAACCAGCTGAACGAGGACGGACCCGTCTGGTAACGAACCTCTTCATGATTCTTGTTTTGTTGCTTTCTGATCCTCCGGGTTGCGTCTGCTCTGGTTCTGATCGGCTCGTCAGCAGCCGAGATCGATGACAAAAAAATCTTTTTTTTTTTTTTTTTTTTTTTTTTTCCCGTGTGTTCATTGTGGCGGAAACAGTCGAGTGGACGTGGCTCTTTTTTTTTTTTTCGGGGGGTCAAAAACCCGAGTCATGCGCTTCATAGCCCGGCTGTGGTTGAGCTGTTCAGCCCTGGTTTTGCTGGATGGGCCGCTTTGGTTGTTATTTCGTTGCAGGAAGGACGGAGGGGGGGCAAAATGTTGAAAAATGAGCGAACCGTTTTAAGGTGAAGCAAACGTGCTCAAGTTTCAAGCTGCAAAGTGGAGGAAAAAAACAAACGTTTTTCCTTCTCTTTATACGCTGATTTCCACATGATTTCAGGACGCTGCTGAGTCACTATAAGACGGCTGTGTTTGCAGACAGATGAAGGATTAAAGTGTTGGATTATCGCAGGTTAAAGCTTCAGACTCGGGTGTTTTTGATCTGCAGTGCGGTAGGCGTGGTTAGAGGGGAGGATGGCTCGGTCCAGATCCTCTTTTAGCATCTTTCCCATCCATCCTCTGAGGCTCGACATGCAGCGGCTGGGCTCTGACTGGACACTTTGATTAAAATGCACCAGAAGCTGCTGTTGCAGTAGAAGAGGACAGAAATAACCTGGGCCTTGTTGTGTTTTACCCTCAGAGGATGAACTCCTTGTCATAGCTTCATTTTCTCTTTTAATAAGAGGGTGTGTTGTCTTTTGGCCTTTCTTCCTTTAATAATAATTTAAAAAACTTGACATATATTGAGATCCAGAACTGCAGCAGTAGTTTTGTATGAGGCATGAYTCATGTAATCATATAATATGTAATATTGGAGCATTTTAAGTTTTTTWAATAGGCTTTAACCTTTAACCTTTAGGCTTTAACCTTTCTTTTGTAAGGTTAAAGCCTTTTTAAGTGTCCAAATACGAAAAAAAATCATTTTTGATTAGAATGTTGTTTGTGTATCACCTATGATTAAAAATAACTAAATATGCACATTCGTTACTAAAAGTTTACAGCATAATTTGTAATTAAAAGGCAAAATCTGCAAAGTCATGGTTTTGTTGCCAACAATAATGAGTCGTTTGTTTACGTTTGAACATTGATGATACACTTCAGACAAACATGCAACAGATCCTGAGTCTGTAAAATACTCCCCAGATGTAAACTGAGTCAGAAGCGACTAAAAGCTGTGAGGACGAGTCAACAGAAAGAGTCATTTTGAGGAAGTATGTTGAGCAGTGGAGAGTGTTAGAGGGAAAAAATGGGGCTAAAATAATCTGAAACTGATCGACACATTTAGCTGTAAACAAAGGCAAGAAACTTTTGCTAGTTTCTAATGCGATTTTTACAAAAACGCTAATGAGTTTGAATTACATTACCCCGAAAAAAATATTTAAAGTTGTCGAAATTGTGTTAGAAACATAAAAACATCATTTTAAAGTTATGTGTTTTTACTGGTATAGCTTTAAAGATGTACTAAGATTTTTGTAACAATCTTAAAGACTGATAGTAATAAATGTATAGTAACAAGTTCTTGTTTGGATACTTTCAAATGAAATGCTAATTAAATGTTATCTAATGTTTTGAGATTAAATTATAACTCCTGAGGTGGTGTTTAAGTGCTGCCTGTTGTGTTGTCCCAGCTGAGGTCCTAAAAGCTTTATTTTACCCCTTTATTATTCAGGCTAACAGACGGTATTAGTAATGAGGTCACCTCTGATTTACAGATTACTTGTAGCTAATCTTATGAAATGCCTAACACCTTCTGGCCTGTCTCAGCTCCTGTGTTGGAAGTTATTGCCTCCTCATTAATATCCAAAGATTTACCTCTAATCTTTCACATCAACAAAGATTTTCTCCTCTGTCAAAACAGCCGTTTAGTTAACTAAGTGATAACTGGAATATTCGACGTTCACTGTGTGTCAAGTGGGGCTGGCCGGTTGTCTGATCCCTAAATGTCTTGCTGCAAAAAGCAGTAATGCTAAGAATGTAAACGCAGCAAGGCGAGCCGACGGGATTTATGGCCTCATCAGCAAAAATGTTTTTGGCTTGGAGTCACCTTCATGTGATCGGGCTGCCTTCCCCAAATTCTGTTCAGTCTGTTAGGGCTCAGTCTAAAACTACCTTGTCATCTAGTTTTAAAGAAGTTCATATTTAAATAAAACATGTCAACAACAATTAAATGAACAAAACTACTTTATCTTATGATAAATAGTATTAAAATCTTAAAGAAGTAACAAGGCTTTAAGTATTGTCGCTGGCCTGTTGCTAAACAGCTAGTTTAATCAATTATCAGTTAACAGATTACCCCAAATATATTCTAACTAAAATTGTTTCTTAAAATGTTATTTAGACAAAGACACTTTTACCTGTATTACACTGCTGTTGCCTGTCACCTCTGATTTGCTGCAGGGTCACATTTTTGTTTGATGCTGTCCTGTTTTCTTTGTTTTTGTTGTTTAAAAAGTTTTCTGGCTGAAATCAACTTTAGTTTTTGATTGATTTATTAGCTGAATACTTTCTTGATAAAATTAAATCCAATAAAAGTAAACAGCAAACCTTTGTAGGCTTAAATCCAAAAATAAACAATAGAAAACAGAATATTAGAAAACTGCCTTATTTATAAACACAATATAGGAATGCATTTGTGAAACTGGAATCTGGATAATTGAGGCCCCTCAGCGGAGGTGTCATGTTTTAGTGGGCAGATCAGCCATATGGTGTCCTGTTACTGTATCTGCGTTGTGTCTGACAGCTGTCAGCCCCGCAGCCACGCAGAGGGGGCTCAGTGGACTTCAGGCTTGTTCAGGATGGGTCTTAGTGTGTCAGAAAAAACTACAAGTATTCCCGTCCACGTAGGCTTCATAAGCCCCCAGCAGGATTGTTGGTGCGGGGGGCTGGAGGGGTCAGAGGTGGGCCCAGCTGTGATGTAGTCTGGCTAATGGCACTCAGCTCAGCACAGATGGCAGGCCCTTCCATCCGCCCATAAATGTGTATGATTCAGTGTGCACAGGCCGCTCTTCACAGTGTGCAGAACAATCACAAGTGGACCTTAAAATGGAGGTTTACGTGCACGGACACAGCATTTAGAGTCAGTGACCAACTATGTCATGGAGCTTCACACTGATAAAGCACAGCTGCCCTTTTAGTTTAGACATGAGTATGCTAACTGAATGTGATTTCATTGGTGTGTTCAGGGGGCAGACAGCTGACACGTGCTTCTGAGTCACTGTAAATTCGCTGTGATGTTCTTCCTACTTCCTGTTGGATTGTCATGGTTGCAGCTGTCAGTTTAAGATGATAAAATCCAGCAACATCCCAGTCTCTGCAGGCCTCAGTTCGAAGGATTGCTGGGAGAAAACCCCCTTCTCACTAATAAAACCATGGCAGGACAGCTTGAGTTTGCAATCTGAGCAAACCTCAGTCTTTTGAAATTACATTCTTTGAGCAAACAAGACCTAATTGAAGATGTTTGACCATAATGAATAACTCAGTGTTTGGTGAAAACCAAACTAATTATGTCAGCACAAACAAATCACAGCTGACGAACACGCTGYTGTAAAGCTGAATGCTTTGGGGTTGTTTTGCAGCTGCACAATCCTGACGTTTAGGGTTCATTTAGTCAACCTTTTGTATACTGAAGTATTTTTGAGTCAAGTTAAGTCCCATGATAATAATCATAAATGCAAATGTTCAACAGAAAGACTGTTGAAAAGAACAGACTCCTCATCGCCTGACTACAATGTCGAGGCAGGACTATTAGAGAGCATTTCTTAGAAATGCCCACAAATCTCAGTGAACTGAAGCAACAATGATACAAAATGTTTGTGCCAACCATGTGAGAGATTCACAAGGTCATTTCAAAATTAATTACTTTTGATTTATTGCTCTTAATTCTTCTACAATCACACGTTTTGCATTTTGACTTAATTTCTTTTCATTTGTGTCTCATGTCCTTTGGTGTTGGTTATTCAAGGTTGCTTCATTGAATTTAAGCACTTTTTTTACTTGCATTGTAAGGAAAAGTTTGTTCTTTAAACAACTTTTACCACAAAAATTGTTCTTCTGCCTTTTAAACTAAGAAAATTTGATTCAACATATTTCATAACATATTGGCTGAAAATGAAGTATTGTAATATTCAGTRAGGGGTCCAGAGGGGTTTGGATTTATTAAGTATATAAATTTTGCCAAACCCCCCAGTGCAGGACATTACATGACCTGAAATGTTGGGTATTTTGTTGTTTTATTTTTTACCACAGATGATTAAATTAACATAGCTCTATTTTGTCTTCTTACAGAGTCAAACAACAGTGTGTGTGCAGTAATCTGCAGCATTAAATGAGTTGTGAATGCAGCTTTTTGAATGCTTCATGTATGTGCCAGTGCGCAGTGAAGGCCACACACGAGGCCAGTGTTTGGGCTGTTTTGTGGCCCAGTGAAGCGTGCCTGTCACCAGTGACTGAACGTATTCTTCCTCAATTTCTATGGTGCTGATATGTTCCTCTGCTCCCCATCCGTCCATAGTTCCCTTTTTTCACGAGGGGTTAAGCAACGCAGAGGTTGTCTGTGGCCATCTTCTGTCAGCGGATTACTGACCCACAGCTCACGTCTGCCACACACGACACAACAAAGACACATCACAGGTTTTTACAGGATTTTTGCCCCGAGTTCAGCCTAGTGATTTTTTGTTTTGTTTTGTTTTGTTTTTTTAGAAATCCTTTTCCTCACTTGAATTTCATTTGAAAGTCAGGGTTGGYATGTGAGTCTTGTGACTCATTGATTTGCTCACATTGTTTCTAGTGAAGTTTGTAATCTAYCTTCGGTCATCTTTATTGGTTTTATTGCCCCCGAGGTTGTGAAGAGTCTGATTAGCATGCTGCGTTCTTTGACCTTTGGACCTTGAAACCTCTGCTCCTCACTTCCCTGAGGCCAGATTTATTGCTGCTTTGGGTCGACATTATTTTGATTTAACACCTAGCAACTTGCTGCTGAAGTGTTTTTTTTTACTCTTTTTGCAGCTTGACCAAGTTTAATTCAAAAGTATTTAATCCTTTTTTATAATGATTCCAGTGGGATTCAAGCAAGCTGCTCATGTCAAGTTAAAATTTCCCTGCGCCTCTAAAGCTAATTATTTAACCAAAAATTAATTAGAGTCCAAACCTTCTCTTGTGGAGGSAAGTTTTCTTTTTTGAGTCAACATTGTCGACGTTCGCTCCGACGTGTTTGTTGATTGGAACAGCCACGGCCAGAACGCAGAGATCCTTTCACCTCACAGTAAACACGTGCCTATAAATAGAGCTGAGGGAGAAACAGGCCCYCAGCAGAATGATAGGCATTCGTACTACAAACCTCAACAGAGATGCAGTGTGTGCTGTCACATAAACACACCCCCTAAAAACCCCGCGTGTCAGGCTCTACGTGAGATCTGACCATCCTGTCAGCTTCATGAAACACATTTCCTCATCGTCAAGTTTATGTCCCATCTGTCGCTGCTGTTTGTTTTTYCTGAATAAAAAACTGAAATACACAGAGATGTAGAGACAGGACAACTTTATCACTTTTATTAATTAATCTTTTAGTTTTAATAAGTAGTCATTATCTCTCAACTAACTAAATGATAATTTAGAAAAATACCCCCAAAAAAACCCTGATTTAAAGTTTTTGGGGTTTTTTGTGAACAGTTGATGAGGATTTAAGCAATAAGGGTCTCCTTTTTAACTACTTTTAAACATTTTCTAATTCAACAATTGATTAAAACATATTAACTCAGTTAGCAAACTAAATCACTGAATTGTTTTATCAGTTACATTTGTCCAAAATCAAATGCATCCTTTTTTCTTTACAGTCAACACAATTTATCATTAAATAATGAAAACTTAAATGGTTTATCTCTGTTCTGTTTGGTTTCGTTGTTTGTTTCTTTTCTTTTCCTTAAAGATTGTAAAGCTCTGCTGCATAAGACAATAAAAAAGCCGGTTGACATTTTAATTTGATTAATGAACTGATTAGTACGCTCTGTCAGCTAATTTCCCCCTAATCAGCCTAATAATCTGAACTAACAACTAAATTAATGAGCTAACAGCTTTTTAGATAGGCTGACCTGAATGTCTGTAGATGAATGAGACATGTTTTAAAACAAATATTTACTGATTCTTGTTCATTTTTTTACTTTTCTGATTATGTAACACTTAAATTATTTATATTTCACTTAAGGCTTGCATCACTGTTTTCTGTATTTTAATCCATTCTGCCAGAATAAGAGTGAACACATCTGTTTTATCATTTGTTGATTCCATGATTCCAGCAGACCAAGCAGCTGCTGTCATCACTATGATTACTGAGCCAAGAGACTTGAGCCACTTGTATTAGTTTTTACTCTGCTGTCAAACAATCTTTAACCATCTGTGTATTTGCATCAGATGGGAGCTCATCACTGCACAAAAGGGTGGGCTTTAAATCAGTTCATAACGAGCCGTCTGACTCATCGTATTTTCCTCTTTCCTCCGCTACAGTGTGATTTACCATGACGACTGAATCAGGCGCAGACTCGGAGGCCAAGCAGCCCCAGGAGAAAAAGGAGACAGGGAAGGGGAAAGCTAAAGCAGCAGCCCAGCCCACCTCACCCCAGAACCACCCGGAGCAGCTCCCAGCCGCTGCCGGGCACAGCACCCCCGCCAGGAAAGAACAGGTCAGCCTCCTTATGACTCATCTGACACATATACCTGCTTATTTTGCTAACAGATAAAAAAAGATTCATATTCATTGTTTCTCCACTTTACTGAGTTGATCTGTTCAGATTCAAGAAAACGTCTCAGCGTTATTCCCTCTGAATGAATCGTCTCTTTGTCATAAAATGGAAATCGTAGGGGGGAAACAGTGACGTGACTTCAGTGTCCTCCATTGTTAGAGCCCCCATCGGTCGACTTCAAGTAAAACTTCTCTTTCATTCAGAGCTCCTTTCTTTCATTTGGAAAATAGGAGGAAACAGAAAAACTTCAACACATTTAAAAACAAACACTTTATCTTGTTCGATAGTTTCTATTTTATTAGGCTGTTTCTTCACATCAGGTCGGTGTTTTAGAGGCTTTAGATTGCATTTAGTTTCAGTTCTTCTACACGTTACTCTGTTCTAACATTTAAAGATTTGTCTCAATTTTAGTTTGTATAGAAATGACAAAGTCAGTAGGGCTGGGTATCGATTCAGATTTCCCAAATCGATTCGGTTCACAATTCACAACGATTCAGGACGATTCATGATTCAGTTTYATTGATTTTCAAATTAGTTAAGGATTTCATGCAGGAACACATTTACATTTATATGTAAGACATTCTCAAAGGAACTAATTCTGTAAATAGTAGAAACTAATTCTAACTTGGTGCGTTGATAAAATTATAAACATAATTTTACTTGTAAACTTGTAAATTGGAGTTTAATCTTGAAACAAAATTTTCTCAAGTTTCAAAGGGTTTAAACTAAAAAGGAAATGCAACAGAAAGAGTTGTTGGATGCATTAGTTTTTTAAGAAACTAATAATTTTCTTGATCATTAAGAAGTGATGGAATAAGGTTACAGGAGAAGAGATGAGATAATATAAGTGTTTACTTCTGCCCACGTTTTTGAGCGTATGAAAACTGTATATTTGTAACGTTTCTGTTAGCTTCTGTTCAATAAAACTAAACAAGAAGAAAGAAAGAAAAAAAGTACTTAAGCCAAAAATTCCATCACTGTGAATTACATTAAGATGTTTTAAATTTAAAAATATTGGTAACAAAACTAAACGTTTTGTTAGACTCGCGTCTTTCACACATTTATACATGCAGAGGACAGTTTCTGTCAGATGTTTACATACAGTAGTTTTGGTTCGAGCTGCTCGAAGCTTCATTTTCTGCCACCACGTCCGAGCGCAAATCTTTGCAAACAAAAGTTGTCATGACCTCTGTTATCTTTAAGTTCAGCTGAGAATCAGCTGTAATGTTAGTGATTCCTTTGTTTGTTTTGTTTTGCCCCAGACAGCTTGTTGTTGGGAGCTAATGTTAGCACTCTCCATCAACCGGCTGTAAACCTACATCAAGCCAGGAGTGACACACAACATGGAAATGCGCAGCTTCATCGCGCACAAAATCCATGGGGAAAAATCGATCTCATGACTTATGAATCGATTTTCCCAAATTTGAACGAAAATTGATCCTGATCGATTAAATTGATTTTTTTAAAACCCAGCCCTAAAAGTCAGGTGATTAAATTTAAGCCAAAACTGCACCAGCGAAAATCCTCATAGCTGCATTAAACAGCCACTAATGGGCGACGCACTGTTGTGTGAATTTGCAGAAGCAAGACCGAGATATTCTTCAGCACTGTAACAGTGTTGGACCTTCCTGTGAACACACACACTCCAGCTGAGGACGCACACACGCCTGCATCAAAAGTGGCCTCAGTAACAGTTTAACTGTGATTTCATACACCTGCAACACTTTCTCTCATCAGTCATGAAACAGCAAAACACCCTCAGAGGATTCTTAGAAATGTAAACTCCTAATCACGTGCTTAGTTTAACTGTTTAACCTCCCTAAAGTATTTTTCTTCTGTGGTTGAGCACTGCTTTTAAATGAGTGGACACACTGAGCTGGTTCATGGGAGTTTCATTAGATTAGCAGCAACGTGACGGATTTAACCTAACGGACAAGATAAGAAATGAAAGCGGGCGTAACATTAAATCCATGTTTTTGAGTGAGAAGAAAAATGTGTCACAGCTTCTTTTTCAGCATGCAGTCTGTCAGAAAGGGCTTTGTTTTCAGCCGAGTGGAAAATTGGATTTTCTCCATAAATGTAATCAGGTACCACTTAGACAAGCTGAAGTGAACCACTATTTTGTTCTAATTTTTTTATTTTATTGTATTTTTATTTAGCAGAAGGAAGAAGATCAGGAGTCCCACAGGTCGTCCACCAGCCGTCTGTCAAAATCTCCTTTGAGAGGAGTGAAGAAGGTGAAGATCATGCAGTGTAAGGTCACTCTGCTGGACGGCTCCGACTTCACGGTCAGCGTGGAGGTGAGTCACAGTTTACTGCAGAGTTCTGTTTGTTTTCACCGTAATTAAAAAAAACAGCTTGTGTGCCTTTTTTTAGACATGATGTTTTTTGTTAATTTTAAAATTTGCGCTTTAGTTTACTTCCTGAACTGTGAGAATAAAGATGAATTTCAAGGGAAAAAATAATCAGCTGAATTTGTTCTTCTGCAACACTTTTTGCTTAAACTTAGAAACACAGATAAAAAACGTTCACAGAGGAAAATGCTTCACCCATAAACATTTAATTGTTGTAACCTGAACAGACTTTCACTTTTTGTGATTTATTCCAAAGTGTTCTCAGGGTGAGGAGAGGAAAACCTCTTCATGTAGCAGTTTTTCTGTTTCAAAGTTCACTTCGCTTGAACAAAAGAAGCATTTATCACACAGATTGTTTTGCTATGTCAGTTTTTTTCCCAGAGCTGTGCGCCCTCGAGTGTAATAATTATACTGATAATGAGTTTTAATGTGTCCAACATTCAGAAGCAATGTTATTAAATTGAGCTCACAAGAAAAATAGCTTTTTGTTGTAAAAGTGTTGGAGCCTCTAAACAGAATCACGACAGTTAGTCCCTCTCCTCAGCCCTTGTTTCAGAAATAAATCACACTCCTGAACTTTTTTGACATTTCAGATAATTGTCCTCGTCCATCCGGCCTCAAACTGGTCCACGAAGCTGAGGCTTGACACTTTTTATCCCCCTGACCTTGTAGTTTTCCAGCTCAACTCAATTTCCTCCTGTGGGAACCAGTTCGTGATAATCATTTCCCATTATTTTCTGTGACACAGAGCTGCTGAACCTCCCCTGACTTCACTCCTGAGGCTGGAAGGTTTTATTAGAAGAAAATTAAAATCCCACATCAGAACAGATCTCTGTTGATTCTACAGCTGATTTGTTTTTTAAGCAGGCAGATAAAATATTTCATTATTAGTCTGCGTTCTCTCTCCTGTTTTCTCGTTGAGAAAATGCTTTTTGTTTATAACTTGTTGGTCGAACAAAACAAAATCTGGGACTTTGATGAAAATATATTTCTTAATTTACGATTGGTAAACAGAGGTGGTAAGAAAAAGTGCTCGGATAAATAATGAAAGTGTTTTCTTACATGTTTGAGTGTACAAGTATCAGTTTGCTAACAGGATTACTGCCAGTCCCCAGACTCTGTTGCAACAGCTCTTGTTTACTTTCTAAATTTAGACTAAATTGATTATAATTGATGTTCCTCTTCTGATTTGAGATCAGTTTACCTTCCAGTTTACTGTTGTTTTCCTTCTCCTAAACAAACCTGGTGAAGGCATATGATCAGTAAACTGCTTATTTGCCTTGCTTGTATAATCTTATCTTATATGTACACTGCTCAAAAAATAAAGGGAACACTTAAACAACGCACGCTAAGTCCAAGTAAATCAAACTTTTGTGAAGCACATTCAACTCTGTACAGAACAAAGTGCTCAATGCGAATATTTCATCGATTAAGATCGGGAGTTAGCGTGCGTTGTTTAAGTGTTCCCTTTATTTTTTTGAGCAGTGTACTTGACTGATCCATGAGGTTTAGTGCTTTTTGTTTGTGTTCATAAAGCCAGTTTTTAGTTCTGCACTGAAGCAACATCAGTCTGTGCTAACTCCCTCAGAGATGTCCAAGAAGGATTAACTCCCCGCAGCTTTATGGCTGCGTTAAACTCCTCGCATATATTAACAAGTTTTATCTTTTAAAATGTAATTCTGTCTGTGTGAACGTCTAAAACTCAGAGTCTGTATTTCTGCCTCAGACAGTTTCATCCTGACTGAATGTGCAGAGCATCTGTGCCCTTGTTTTGCCTGCATGCAAGTGTGAGACTAATGTGTTAACGTGTTGTGACTCCTTCTGCTTGAATCATCCACAGCAGTGGGTTTCACCCGATTCAGATCTGAGGAGCTGGCCTCGGTGTTTGTGCCAACTCTGACCTGAAATATCCGCTCAGAGCTGAGCCAAACGAATCCTTGAAGTCAGGTTTTATCATGTGGGCTGCAGCTCGTGACAGCCAGCACTCAGATGTTCAATCAATTTGTACAACATTCATGTTGCTAATGCTCACCTTGAGCTAAAAAAAATAAGAATTATTCTCCAAGGTTTAAAGTAGAGAAAATCAATCCAGCTTTGATCGATTGTGGCTCAAATACCTTGAGAAATATTTTTTTGCAGAAAAGACAACAGCTGGTGCTGCTGGGTTTGTTCATGAAAATTGGATTTTCTGTCATTACTTTGCTAAAATCAGGTTTGAGCTCATTTTGATTTTATTATCTTAAGACAATTAGGTGAAGAGGAGGGCGAGAGGGTGCCTGGCAATCCCATGATGCTTAGTTAGATTGCACAGCTGTCGTGCTGTTTTGTTTTGTGTTTTTAAGGTGTTTTTTGTTTTGTTTTCACCACAGAAACGAGCCAAGGGCCACGTGCTTTTTGACAAAGTATGTGACCATCTAAACCTACTGGAGAAGGACTACTTTGGCATCACGCACCGAGACGTAGAGAATCAGAAGGTAAAGTGAAAAAACGTTCAGTATGTTGAGCTTAATAAATATTTATTTACTTATTTGTGAAACTGCACTATGATTAACCAGCAAAGGAGCTAATTAGGTGACAGTTTTCAGTGATTAATGTTATACACAATCCAGTTTTTAAAGACGACGCTGATATTGACCTTTCATTTAAGGCTGTAGTTGATTAATTGTCTGACATTTAATGATTGTTTGTGCAGAACTGGTTGGACCCTACCAAAGAGATGAAGAAGCAGATCAGAGGTATGTTGGATAATCCAGTTAAATTGCAGAAGCAAAGTGGAGAAAATCAACATTTCAATAATTATACTTTGTTTTTACCTCTCAGCTGGTCCCTGGAACTTTGCTTTCAGTGTGAAGTTTTACCCCCCAGACCCCTCACAGCTGACTGAAGACATCACCAGGTGAGAGGATGTTTATTAAGTTTGTTTATGAATTTACCTGCAGATGTTTGCTCAAGTTCTTCAGAATGTTGGTTTGAAATGGAAAAGAAAAACACAAGTGTGCTAGAAAATATTGGGCAGCTTTTAGATTGATATTCAACAAAATGCATTGAATAAACAGACCAGAAAACTAAATCAGACATATAAACACATGTTGGCTGTTAGACCTTGTAACTGTTTTCCTTCTGTCCATCCCTCCTGCAGATACTACCTGTGCTTGCAGCTGAGGGATGATATCGTTTCGGGTCGCCTGCCTTGCTCGTTTGCCACCCACACGCTGCTCGGCTCCTACACGGTGCAGTCTGAACTGGGAGACTACGATCCTGAAGAAATGGGCAGCGATTACATCAGCGAACTGCGCCTCGCGCCCAACCAGACTAAAGAACTTGAGGAGAAAGTCATGGAGCTCCACAAAACATACAAGTTAGTGTTTGTTAAACTAAGTACACAGATTAAAGCAATGAAGACAGTTTAAGAGATAAAAAAATGTACATATATTTTAGAAATGAATGATTTTTGTGATGTTTGATCCAGAGGATTGAAGCTGTTTGAGTGTAAAAACAAAAATCTATTGAATAAAAAGATGCATTTTTGTTACCAAGTGGAGGTTTAAATAGTTTACTCCTAAACAAAACTACCAATCCTCTCTGTTTAAAATATATATTGAAGCTTTTTAATGTTGCAAGTAAAATTTGTGTGGAAAGTTTGCAAAAATGCATCTTTTTGTGTCTGAATTTTCTGATTTAGGGGGATGACACCAGCTGTAGCAGAGATGCATTTCTTGGAAAATGCCAAAAAGCTGTCCATGTATGGTGTCGACCTTCATCACGCTAAGGTAACAAACTGCAACTAATTAACTCCATATGCAATTTTAAAACTATTTATGTTAATAAATACAAACATACAGGTATTTGTCAGTATAGCATCCAGGCCAGGTGGTGGAATGAGCGCACTTACGAGTTAGCAAAGCCAGAACTGAAGGTTATAGCAGCTACTGTTAAAATAACAAATCAACATCATCATAACTCTGCACACATGATGCTGATCACTGGGCTTAATATGACAATTCATCAGATTTAGCCTGAATGACTGCTAAGCTTAGATATACACACAGAGAGCAACAACAACACACACATACAGGAGGAATAATCTGTGAAACATTACACACAATCATTTTAGAATAATCAACTTCGCTGTTCCTTTTGTTAACAAAATGACCACCACCTTTAGCTTCAAAACTTATTGCAGGAAATGAGATTGTTTATGTTAGAAGGTGCAGAGCTTTACGACAGGTAGGCAATATTTATTGGAAGGAAGACTTAAAACATGAGTTTAGTCAATTGTTATTAGTTTTATTTGATTTTTTTGATATATATATTTTTTATTGATAAAACGACTGAGTTTTCCTGGAAATAGTTTCTTTTACACACTGAATAAAACACTCCACATCCTCGAACCTGGAAATTGTTTTGGCATCTAATTTCCTCACAAAGCATGCTCACGTGTCGAATAAATGGATGTGAAGATGCACGCACACATTGTTGTTTGAAGTTGCTCAGTTCTGAACTTCAAATTGTGCATGAAGAGCATCTTTGCACTGAATAATGATTGACTCGGGAACGTGCACATGCTTGTTTTCATTAGGGAAAGTCAACGACTCTGATTTATTCTCTTTACAAACTCATGAACATAAATTAAAATATAAATGTTTAATTTCGTGGATTTGATACAAACTTTGTTGAAGACTGGGTTTGTGCAGTGAAGAATGGACTCGTGCTCTGTGAGCTTTTGAGAAAGGTCTCAAAGTTGAGAACTATTTTACTAGAGGTTATGTTATCAAGAAAAAAATAGCCCCAAATCTAGAATTTGTCACAGAAAAAAAAATATTACCTGTTTCTTACATTTTGTATTTGTATCAGAACTTTGTAAACTTGTGTATCTTCTGTATGAGATCTTAAACATTTTTCAGTCATGCAGTCGCTTCCCACCAAATGCTGCTTCACGAACATCATGGCTGCTCGGTGATGCCTCAGTTTTAACATGCTGCTCCACTGATTGACTCACATCTTCTCACCGCTGTCTCTGTGGGTTTGCAGATCTGGAGCCCAGCTTGACTTGTCTGTTTTTTTGTTGCGCCGCCATCAAATGCGCCATCATAACACTGCCAGGAAAGAGAGCGCTGTCACCGTAAAAAAAAAAAAAACAACTAAATTACACTCATCAGTCTCTCTGATATAAATCGCTCATCAAAAGTGCTTTGAAAGTCAAAACGAGCCTAGATGTGAGCGATGGGGAGGATATTGCCCTCCCAGATCCGAATGGACGAGATGACAGAMATGAGGAAGCGGCTTTGATCAAACTGAATAGGCCTCTGTTGCTTCTGTGAGTCATAGTTTTGATGCACAAGAAAATCTGTACATATCAGAAGAGCATCCTCTTTTGTCTTCTCTCCTCTCTTATTAAACGCAAAAGTTGGTAGGGAATCTCTATGAAAGCTTGGCTCCAGCTGAGGGAGAGGTAAGAGGCTGCTTCCATGTGCTTTACACCAACTGAGTGAGTGTCTTTTCTACATGTGCATGGTTAAATATAGAGTTGTCATTTTCAACATCCCATTCATCACCTGAGACTGATTTTTTTCTGCTTTGGATTAGTGCTTTTTCTTCATTAGTTTTCTTCTGGTCATTTCACGCTTTGTGCAGTGAAGAGCAAAATTTTCCCTAAACTTCACTTTTGCTTTTGTCAGTTGACACCGTTTTCAGTCTTTATTCAGCATCAGCACCGTGTCCGTAGAGGAGATTAGAAAAACTCATGCCTGTTTTCATCGTCTCTCTGCCTGCTCAAACCCCTCTTATTATCACCTTTTTTTTATTTCTACTTCCTGCTGTGCCATGGCGCCTGACCATCTCCTGTAAATAAAAAAGCAAATAATTTATTTTTATGAAAGATTTTTTAGAACGAAAACAGTGTTTGTTAGTGTTTTTTTTTTTTTTCAAATTGTTGTGAGTTACATGTAATTTTTGTCATTTCTTGCTGTGTTTTGTTTTCAGGACTCTGAGGCTGTGGAGATAATGCTGGGAGTTTGTGCAAGTGGTCTCCTCATCTATAGAGACAGGTTGCGGATTAACAGATTCGCCTGGCCCAAAATCCTCAAAATCTCCTACAAGAGGAACAACTTTTATATCAAAATCCGTCCCGGCGAGGTAAGAACAGTAGCTGTCATGTTATATTTGCTGTGATCTTACAGAGCAGAGGCTTTATTTTTCTTTATCTCAGCTGCAGAAAGCAGATTTTTATTTAAAAAAAATGCTTGTTTTTAAAGCAGATGTTATTTCATAACTCTTTGAGTTTATCGTATGTCAGTTACCATTTTGTGTTTGTTAAAATTAATTACACTGTTAACACCACCTCACAGTTGTTTGTCACCTCTTCAAATTAAAAGCCCTCGGGTGTTTCAAACGACAGACATTTTTGTGATAAAGCAAAAACCAGATGAATCAAAATAAACAAAACTCTCTAGATAAATTTATTTCAAATGCTTTTTTTTTAAAAAGTGACACCAGCATGGTCTATTTGTGTATTTATTTATTTATTTATTTACTTTTAACGCTGACAGCATAAGTATTTTGTGCAAAATGTTAAAAAAAAGAAACTGAACCACATTTTGTTCCAGGTACATTACAGATTTATGATGACTCTAAACACTGAACACTGAATTTCTTTTTACGTTGAGATGAAAAGAATGATCCAATAATAACACATACAAGATATCTTTGAGCTGTAATTCATAATTCAGCACTATTTGGCTGTCAAAGATATCTTTCATAATCTGGGTTTGCTCTGCAGAGTTCGCAGCTTTTTATGTAAGAAAGATGAAATATTGAACTGGGACACTGAATCTGGAGATGCATGAATGATTTATGTTAAGATCTAGGGCAGAAATAACATGGCACCGCAAAGCTGCATGCTTAAAAATGAAAAGAACTAGAAACATTTCTGTGTGCAGAAGGTTTCAATGAAAGAGGTGGAGGAAAATCAGCATTTTCTTTGTGTTGCAGTTTGAGCAGTTTGAAAGCACAATTGGTTTCAAACTCCCAAACCATCGCGCTGCCAAAAGACTATGGAAGGTCTGTGTGGAGCACCACACCTTTTTCAGGTAAAAATATTTAAGATGACTTATTTTTGACTGTGAAAAGTTGTACTGCATAATATCAGTTTTAATTACGATAAAATGGCAGATTCAGCAAAGTCAAATAATCCTCAAGATGCTTCCGTGGCGTAGTTTAGTTTGAGGGATCACAGTCATGCCAGCATTGCAGTTTGCTCATATGTACTGTATTTAGGAGCAGTGTTAAAGCTGGTAGTATTTTAAACATCATTCAGAGTTGCTGCTTTAAGCAAAAAAAATGGTCTTTTGAGTCATTTCGAGTAGAAAATCCAGCCTGAGGGCTCCCTGGAGACAATTCAGATGAGTAGGAGGCTTAGTGCTTTTTAGTGCTCGGCTTAACTTAGTGTTTTATTTGTGGTTTGATTAATGAGCATGTTTGTAACTTGTTACAGGCTGGTGTCTCCAGAGGCTCCCCCAAAAAAGTTCCTGAGCCTAGGATCCAAGTTTCGCTACAGCGGCAGAACGCAGGCTCAGACTCGCAGGGCCAGCGCTCAGATCGGCAGGCCGGCCCCGTTGTTCGAACGCTCCTCCAGCAAACGCTACAACATGTCCCGCAGCTTAGACGGAGGTAAGAAACCAAAACAGTTCAGTTCTTTTTGTTTACATAATGCCATTTCACGGGGCACAAAAACATTTAATACTCTATATGGCATTTAGTAGTATTTTGATGTTTA